TGTGTGTGTGTCTCTGTCCTTTCTCCCTCCCTCTAACACGTGCAATTGCGAATATATTTTCTGATTTTGTTTGAATTTCTAGTTGTGTAGAATCAGCGGCCAGCCCACACCAGCACAGCTTCCTGTTTTAATTATGGTTTGGGGAAAAATACTGAAAATGACAAAAAAAATTCTGGCAAAAACAAGAAACTAGTTTCTTTAAAAAAAAAATGACAAAAAAAAATACTGCCACTGTTTCCTCCCTCCCACCCACCCTCTTGAGATGCAACTGTTGGGTAAACGTGAGCTTGAAATGACTTGTCTCAGCCGGCAGAGGGTGGAAGGAAGAGAGCATCAAGAAAAGGATTTGGATAAGCTTGCAATATCCTACAGCAGATAGTGCTTGTTGCTTTCCGCATTTACATCTTTAATTTTGTTTTTTTTTCAAAATAGTTCCCAAGTAAAGATCGCATTGAGTGATTTAAGTTTCTGGGTCATTTGACTGGCCTCATTTACTTTATTTATTCTTTCCCTGGCAATTACTGAACACACAGCAAGCAGTAAAATGTCCCTCCTGAGGGCGCACCAGGCAGCCAGAGGGTCAGGGAGGTGGGGGCGGGGGGTGGGCAGTGCTATGCTGCTGTGAGCAGGCGTGTGACTCGGACCAGAGCTTCGTACCGTGTGCAGCTCACTCAACCTGGTGGGGTGTTTCAGGGGCTATCGGAATCAGCTGGCCTTCTCGAAGGTCAGGAGTATGTTGAAATTGCCCTAACTAGATCTGTATGATCCTTGCCGATACTGAAATGGATCAGAGTTCACTTCTGGAAAGATTTAACAGCCTAAAGTCAATGCAGGTCAAAAGTTTGTTTCCAGCAGCTGACATATTGAGTGCCAAATATTTGCATTCTGTAACGCAACCAAAATATACCTTTAAGAAAATAATACTCACTGCTCCTATGTTCTCGGCTATGGTTCCGTTTGAACGGAGAGTCTCCAAGTTTCTCCTTCCCTTACTATCCAACAGTGATTCAACTGCTGCTTAAAACTGTCTCATTATTCTGCTGTGCCTGTACTTTGCTGCCACCGGGCACTACACCAATGAAGCTGTATTCCTTCAGGAATGCCATCTGTTTTTGTTTCCCACGTCAATGGGTCTTCTGTTTGATGTAGTACAGGCAGAGCACACTGTGTGTGTGTGCGCGCGCTTCCTCGCACTCTAGCAATTCTACTTGTACGTTCTTTTCCCCTGCTTCACTTTGCTGTGCAAGCTTTGTTTGAAAATATAATCATTGTGTGTGATGAAGTTGAGGCTATCAGCTGTAATCAAGGGATGTTATGGAAGTAGAAGCAGGAGACTGTGATGAGGGTGAGGCTATGTGAGTGGATTCATTCAGGGGTTAGGTACATGTCCCTAGTCATTGTGACAAAATGGTGAGCTTGTCAATCTTCTTACAATTGGACCATTCCTCTTCCGTACTGCAACAATGCAGGTTAGGGTGGATTGGCCATGGTCTGCTTTCATGCCGTAGGGATTCGGTATATTATCAAATGAGTGACAGGCGGTGGTTCAGTCCTGGACTGGAGGAGCCTTTGGAATACCCATGGCATCCTTGCTTTTTCCCTGGTCAATTGCAGGTGGCGCAACTCAGCAGCCTTGTGAACTGAGGACAGTGAGGAATGGCAGAAGGATTTGGTAAGTTGGAGTGGGTGGATAGGTAGGTAGGTAGGTGGTAGATGAAGTTGAATACTGGAGCTGGAAGTGGGATATTGGAGTAGGAAGAACAGACATCAGCATTAGTATGCTTTTATTTGATTAAAAGGTTTGGCGTAGATATGCACGGATCATTGAATGTTGCAGGACGGGTAGAAAAAGCTGTTAATGTTCTCGATCTTCTAAAGGATAGGGGAGAATAAGCGTGGGCTTAAATACTCCAGCAGAAACCCTATTATACGTACTCTGTCTAGCCTTGGCCCTTTTTGGAAGGATATGAAGATAGCAGAGAGTCAACAGAAAAGATCTGTGGAAAGAAATATCAGTGGAGAGCAAATGATTATATTTTGAGACAAGTGTGTTAAGCCAGTGCCCAGTGTACTGATTGTGAAGAATGCATAAGTTGATGATGATTGCCTAGCTTTAAATTTTAAAACTGGCACCTTGGCAATGCCTTGAATAGTGCCAATCAGAGAATGGCCCTTAAAGTTTTTGTTTAGTCAGTGTGAATATTTACCAAGTGTTGTCCTGTGGAATCCTATCATGTACTGGACATTGAGGTTTGTAACCAGGGGCTGGCTGGATTTGGTTCGTGTCTTGCCAGTCTGGCTCAAACTCTGCTGCCCTGGTCTTTCTAGATAGTAGAGACATGAGAACATCACCCTTTTGTAAGTTCCCCTTCAAGCAACTCCCCACCACCTTCTTGAGGGCAGTCGAGGTCACAGAGATATCACCTGACCTGTTCAGAGACTTGACACGACACAAGTATAGAGGCGCTGAGGAAATCATTTTAATTTAAATCAGTACAGCAAAGGTCACTTATCAATGCATTTGATTAGCTCGCTGGGAAAGGTGGGAGAAGGAAATAGGAGTGAAGATGGCGAGATGGGGATACCACCCTAAGCTTGTGTCTGGTATCCTCTTGCTGCAAGAGCTGATGGAAGGAGGAGAGTTGTCCGAGGGAATGCTCAGTGCCTCAATAATAGGTCTCCTGTTCAACCCAACCTGTAAAGCACAACCAGAAAGAAGTCATCCTGAGCCACAACCGTTACAGCCCCTTATGCACTCCGCTACATAACAAAGCCCCAGCGTGGTTCTGAGGCTAGTATAGCCACAGGATGATCCCAGTCAAACCCCTCTGTTATTGTTGACACAGCCCCGTTTACAGATCAGAATTCTCCCCCTGCCCCCTTCAATCTCTCAACCCAGGATATTTACCACCAGTGACTCCCTTTTCCCACCCCCACCAAGTAGCAGGAGGAACTTTTCCAGAAGGCATTCTCACCTCCAGGACGTCGGCGAAGGATGAATTTCCGAACCTCGTCATAGATGAAGATCAGGAGGCTGTAGGGAAAGGCACAGAACCACCAGGGAAGTCTGTTGATGGAAGCAGAGCATGGCACAAGAGAATCAGCAACCATGTGACAATTCTGACTAGCATCTTCCAATCCGTGCACGCCCAGCTTCCTATCTCTGTCAGCCTCTCCAACTTTCCCTATCTCTGTAACCACCTCCAGCCCCAACACCCCCCTCCTCTCTCTCTCTCTCTCTCTCTTTGTAGCCTTCTTCAGCCTCTGTCCCCACTCTTGCATGTCCTTGCCCACAAACACTTACTTCAGTGGGTACATGCGCAGTGCCACGTCCATTCCTGGGCAGTAGGAGAGGAAAGCTGCTAAGGCAGTCTCTTCAAAGAGTCCAAAAATCAGGATCTTGTTCCTCGATTGTAGAGAAGTGGGAGAAAAGAAGACAAAAATACATGACTCTGTTGTTAGATAAACACAGACAATCATGAGCTACTCTCCCACTATTTTTTAAAATCTGCTTTCCACCCTCCATAGACTGAATAATTGCTTCATCTCCTCCTAGCCTCCAACCTCGTCCACTGTCAATACTTACTTCATCCCTTGCTGGAAGATGGAGTTACGCCGAGTCTTGCAAATCAGGAGGTCAGCCCACTGGACCACCACAATACTTGCAAAGAAGGCTGTGTGGCATGTGAACTCAACAATCTTGCGTTGTTTGTAGGTCTGGGGAACAGAGAGTGAGGGAGAGAGAGAGAGATGCCATTAATGGTAGTGATGAGAACACCAAGGATCCATCACGGCGTTTACCACCCACCCAAGTGGTTTCTATCTTTAGACTCCCCTCAGTGAGAGATAGGAGCTCTGAGGCTCTCATCTCCCCCATCTCATTGTCACACTCACCCACTCCTGCCCGTAGCTGTCCTCCAGGTCATTCTTTGAGCGATCATCCCAGTCCAGGCGAATGTTGAGGAGCCTCGAGGGGAGGAAACCGTTCTCAGCCAGAATGACAAAGTAGGTGAAGAATCCCCCCAGGGCTTGGATCATCCCTGTCAGAGGGAGAGAGCGAGAGAGATGCCCACTTGGAATAGGCCACTGAGATCCACCAGCTCTCCTTCCATCCTTCCCTCTGTCTGTTCCTCATCCTGTCCCTCTGTCTAACTATCCTGCCCTTCCATCCGTCTGTCCCTCTCCCTCCCTCCACCTGTCACTCATCTCTCTTTTCATCTGTCCCTCTCCCTCCCTCTATCCCTCACCCACCCTCTATCACTTTTCCTCTTTTCCCTCTGTCTATACCTCATCCCCTCCCTCTATCTTTCCTTCACCCTCCCTCCATCTGTCCTCACCCTCTATCATTCCCTTCCTCTGTCCCTCTCTGACTCACCCCCTCCTCCTTTGTCCCTCTCTCGCACCCTTTCCCCTCCTGTTTGTACACTTGCCCCTCCTCTGTCCCTCTCTCTCAATCACCTCCCTCCCTTATCCCTTTCTCACACCCTCCTTCCATCTAGTTTATGCACCTCTATCCCTCTCTATCGCTCTATACAACCTTCCCCTCATTCTCTCTCTTTCTCTCACTCTATTCCCATGCCTATCTCTTTCTCCCCTTCCCTCCTTCTCACCCTTCCACCTCTTTTTTGCCTATCTCTCACACCCTCATTCTTTGAACCCCCGCTCACCAATCTGGCCATATGCCATGCTGATCAGTTTCTCGTTCACCAGTTTGTCTGTTTTTGGGTTGCGTGGTTGGCGTTTCATGATGTCGCTCTCTGCTGCTTCATAAGCCAATGAGATTGCGGGGACCTGGCGATTTGGAGAACAGGAATTAGCTACCATCCAATCATGAGCCAATGATTCCCGTGCCTGTGGTTTCTCTTGGTTTGTACCACGTAGGGTCGGCGGTTCCAATAGGGCTTCAGGACGGGTGAAGAGACATTTACTGACGCTGGATTGGAGTTAGGAGGTACACGCTTGCAAACTTTCACACCGTGAATAAACGTGTCTCTGTTGATGCTCCGCTGATTGGCTAAACCCCTCCACACACCTCCAACCCTTCCAATCCCCAACGCCATCACTCAATCACTCACCATATCTGTGCCCAGGTCAATGCAGAGAATAGTGACAGTGCCCAATGGCAGAGGAATGTTTGCCACGATGAAAAGGAGGAACGGAGTGATCTCTGGGATGTTGCTGGTCAGGGTGTAGGCGATGGATTTCTTCAAGTTGTCGAATATCAGGCGCCCTGTGTGAGTAACAAACCCAGTGTCACCATTGGCTGAGCCCAAAGAAGCACAGGAGGATCCCTAGGTCCGAGGGAGCTGTTTCTGCCGTTCTGCTACTTTTCCCCAGGCGAGCACACAGTCTACGCTCCACAGCACCATCACCAGAACCCAGCGCGATCCGGGACCCCCGCTCCCCATC